TGGATTGTGATTACAGATGGTCGCAATTCGCTGATTCATGTATGCTGGCGTGCGACATTTGTTCTTTGTAATTTGAATCTAGTGATTTTCCACTCTGAATAACCAAATCCTGGAGTACAACATAGGACTTTCTGATACGTTATAAGTCCTCTCTAGATGTTCATATACTCTTCCTGCATGCACAAGCTGCTCGGCTTGAGTCTCTAGTGTATTTGGCAATGTAAAATGTAATGAAAACCCAAGTCAACAGAAAATAGATCAAAGTTTTTTCCATACTAAAATACAAAAATCCCAAGATCCAGAGTACGAGGAAAAAATTGGAAATAAATTACAGATATACAGCGAAAGCGCCAAATGTGAATATAATATTACTTCGCTTCTACGCGCATTAGAAAGGCTTCCCTCAAAAATAAAAGCGTGCTGTGGAAATCCTCCAGATTTAAGCTTTCAAATAACCACCAGACCTCTAGTAAGAAAGGCATGACGCGCGTTTTTTCCAAAGGGTTGAAAATGGTTGCGGAAGGGGAAAGAACACAGACTCCTTTCATGTCAAGATATCCAAAGCACGAACTGTAAACTAACCGTCTCCTTCATTGGACCTCAGAGATACGAATTCTAAAGCGTACTTCTTTCATATCGGCAGTGACAGTGAAGACATCCTCATCTTGATCTGCAAGTATCCACTTCGAACGAAATAAATGTAAGCCAAGTACTTCACCCTGAGTGTCATATCACATGGAAATCGCTCTTATCGAACGCATACTTTACTAAAATCATTTAATCGATTTCTTTGAATTTGACCATTTTTAGCGGTGGCGTGATGTTCTATATATACACAGTGGATGTACAATGATGTGCAAAACTTTTGCGGCAGGTGGGACTCGAACCCACATCTCACTTTATCCGGGAGCGTGAGTTCCAGCCTACGTGAAAGTTTTTGAACATCACTCTTACATCACTATAGATGATTATTTATTCCTGTTTCTTTCAGGAGGACCACCGTCACATTTAACTGTGCAGATCCCAGTATTTCTAGCATTCGATTCGCTTCCTAGCACTTGTTCGTTCCTAAGCTCTCCGAACATTTCGAGTGTTGTTTCGACGATGCTTGAACATTTCGTCTCCTTTGTGAATGTCATAGATACTGATCGATCAGCACTTCCTTGTAATCATGGGGACAGCCAGGCTAGAATGCTCTCAAAGGATTGGAAACGGGTCGAACCAGTACACTGCTTTCGTGACAACGCGCATAACCAATCACTCGGCCATTGCTCCTACTATTACAATAAACTCTACAGAAGTTTAACTAGAAGCAGTCCACTCTGAACTAAAGCCTAGTGATACTATATCAAGGGAAAGAAAATTAGAACCTTAGCATACTCATGCACACTGCTCACTTATACCTTCAAGAGGTTCTGGATGAGATTTTCGGAGAGTGTGAAAAATCGCATAATTTTTCAGACCCTGGATTTGGTGCATATATTTCAGCAGCGCAAATCCTGCCTAATTTGTTCTTAACGACAAGGTCCTTTATGAAAAAACTAAGAGGATGCCAAAATACGAGCCAAACTCGGAACGCGGCTTCGACTTGCGATTACCCGTCTCTAGAGGATCACAACGCTAATCTACTATCTACCATCGCGATCCTTGTTCAGCCTTTCTCTCATCCGCGTTTCGTCATATTCGATAGCAATCGGCAATCAAAACCTCTCTAGCAACTGTTACGAGAGGCTCAAAGTATATTATCAGATTGTATTACGAGAGACATAGTGAAAAATATCTACAGAATAAAAAACATTAGCAATCTAAGAGTAATTCGGCGATATTAAATGAGTTAATCGTTCGAATACCTCTGATATTGACATATAGTTTTGGGACATTTACCTCTTTATTCATTGGTGACTTCACAAGAACACGAACTTTCGCGCATGACAAAGACACCATAGTACGAACCAGTTCCTTACGATCTAAAGTAGAAAAGTTTTTTCTATAAGAATTTCTCATTTTACTTCACTTGCAGCCGTGCTCTAATATTACTACCACATATGTAAAGATGCTGAGTGCTATGTAAAACTGAACCGCAATAAGAGTTAAACCAGGGTGTGACCCCTCCCGTCGGCACGTGCTCACCACTACCCTTGGGGTTCATAGTTTAACAAAACACTCCTTTTCACCCTCTCTCTCCCTCTTTTTTTTCTTTCTCTTTCTCTACCTCCCCAAAACTCTTAAAAGTTGATAGCTCTTTCGGACACTCGATCATTATAAAAGAATGTCCAACCCAGTTTTGTCGCCATCATGATGTCCGACGCAGTCCATGATGGCTGATCGTTGAACAATAGAAGAACTATGGCTTGGAATAGTGATACTTTCAACTCCTTGTCGCACTAAAAATTATAGGGAAAGACGTAATCAATTCCGAGTGAAAACGCTGTACAGTCATGCATTCATTGATATTTACCAATACTCAAAAAGAAAACATACTCCTTTTCGGAAATTGGCCTTCAAGACACACTGTCCAAGACGTGGCTGCCATTGAAGTTTCCGTCCCGTGTGCCTTGAGTCGTAGAATTTTTCATAAAGCTGGAGACAAGAGCTTAATTGATGAGGCAATGAAACCTGGAATAACCCGGTGAGATCGTCGACCTTAACACCAAAAAAAAATAGATCCTTCTTCATTCTTCTTACAAAACATGCTCAAACATATTGCTATCATTAATTACGAGAACTATTCCCTATTCCATCCAAGAATGCCGAACGATATACAAAACTTCGAACCTCAGGCGAAATTAAACCCACACCGCACCCTTTCCACGGGGTGCTCGCTAACCAATGCATTACCAAGAAACCTGTCTAGCTCTCACCCTCTCTACAATACAATGTATCCATTCTGTTAGCAACCGTCAGTGGTCTCGAACAGAACAGAATCCAGGTAGTGCAGCTAGCACGCACCCTCGGAAAGAGTGAAACGCTAGTTCAACTTTACTTCGAGGTTCAAGATTTTCCATATCTCTCACAATCTTCAGATATTTGGTTACAGCATCATGACACTGCTACTAAAGTGGTGAAACAAAAGGAATAACAGTAGATTATATCAGTCCAACTTAACGAACCTGTACATTGTCGTAAGCCGGCCACTGTCCCATTGTTAGCACACTGACATTGCATTCAACACACTCGTCTAAACGCCCTAAGGAACTCTCATGCTGAGTGTACTGAAAAGGATTCCAAATGTTGATTCAAAGGAAAAAAGAGCAAAACATATAAAAGTGCAAGAATAGGCATACATTACGGAACGCGATCTCAAGATCCTTAGACAACTCCATGTCTCGAAACATACCCTCGAGCTTCTGAGTGAAACCAGCACCACACTCTGCAAATCAGAGAAATTATGCTAACTACACTACAAAGACTGTTGTTTCATCAACGAATTCTAAACGCCTTATGGAGTAGAGAAAAGAAGAAGACAAACTTCACAAGATGTGGAGTAGTTGCTATGGAAGTAGTTACGAAACAATTTGACACATACATCTAGCAATGTTGAGTGATATGCAAAACTTCCGGCCCAAAGAGGGAAATGAACCCGCTTTTCACTCATTCCAGTGGCTCGTGCTACTCCTACATTACCAAGGCTAGCGCCCACGGTGTGGGTGAAAGCGGATCGAACTCCCACCAAGGTCAGAAGTTTTGCACATCACTTAGCATCTTTGGATATATAATTGTAACATCATAATACTGCTATAAAAACAACAAAACAAAAGCTCTTGGCAATTTAACAATTGTTTTACCTTGTCTCAGTTTACTCAGCATGATCTTTTCAGCATCAACTGAAGCACTCCGGCCAAAGAGTAGACGTTTAGCCAAGTCCTTCTTATAGAAGACCTCGAATACGTCTTTACCTAGAAGAAAATTGCAATTGCAGCTTTAAAACCTCCTAACGACAAAAAATTCGTTGGACTCAAATAGCCCAAACAAGCTTTTTCAAGCAACAAACCTTGAATAAAACGGAACAACGTGATAACTTTGTTCATCAACTGATCCAGCTGCTCATCAGACGCCTCTTTGTTCGCGCTGCGCAATCGTGCGTCCATAAATTTGGCTAAAACAACTAATGGATATTAAAATGCTAAGTAGTTTGACTTTGACAGATCCGCAAAGAGTCGCCATGTATTTCTTCATTATAACATTTGCGACGTGATCTCTACGAAAATCGCAATGGAAGACAGTGGCCGGTGTGACCTCTATAGACTTCATGGCGAGTCGGGCAAAAAATCAGAAATCACCCCATGACACTTTACCAACAACAAGGGACCGTTGGGAATGTGTTTAACATCGTTAGAAGCAACTGATAGAGCTTCTGCCTTGTACAATGATCCGAAGTCGTCTACAAGTGTGTCAAGTCAATGCTGCTGTCATCTCAAACATATCTGATGCGAACTTGCGGACTCTGAAAGGATGGAAAACTTGCTAAACCTATAGCGCAGAATCCAACCAACGGACCACGTGTGCATTTCAGAACACCTCCTACGTTTGGAAATTACCTATTGTAAAGAAAAAAATAGGTTCGGACACTCACCAGTCAATTCAGCAGGTTTATTGCCTCGTGTGTTGATGAAATAATCAAATGCATCCTTTTCAGCTTGAGCGAATTTCATCTTGTCTTCATTTGATCCAAAGCATGTCTCGACTAAAGCATAACAAAGTAACGTAACGCATAGTAGTGTAACGGATAGAGCACACGCTCTCGTAATGAGTGAGTTGCGGGTTCTCGTCCCGCCTGACGCGAAAGTTTTGCACAACACCCTTCTTCAATGGGTATATGTAGAACATCATACCACCGTTAGAGGCGGTTAAATTTAAACATATTCATTTGATCTTCAATACCCAATATCTGTCAGCATGACTGGGTTCAATGTTGAGACCAACTACCCAGGCCAGGTCGCTGACGGTTGGCGGCTGACAGATAGATGCGCTGTAGCGTAGAAAGACGATGTACAAAATGGGCGTCAGTAGTGTAACGGACAGAGCACGTGCTCCCGGAATGAGTGAGGTGCGGGTTCTAGTCCCGCTCCCGTCTGACGCGAAAGTTTTGCACATCACTCTACATCGATGGGTACAAGTGAATTCGTGGTATAAGTGAAGTGAAAGCGAATTCATTTTAACTTCATCACTGCCTGACCCAGGAGCTATAAGAGATATCAAAAGTTGCAAAACTTATTATTATGAAGAGACTGTTTAAAACAAACCAAAAACGTCGAGCTTGTCTTTGAAAGCCATTAGATCCTCCACCATGGTCGGATCCGTTGAGAATCCGTAATCATAGCTTTACCGACTTTCTGACAAGAACAACAATATATTAAGACCTGAAGGAAGTAAGCAGCAAACGAGTATGGGTTAGCGTCTACCTTTATGTAGGCAGAAAAGCCTGTTTTAAGCAGGCCTACTCCTCCCTCAACCCGACAGAGCAGTGCGTATAGACGTGAGACATCCTGGACTCGATTATCATTGAGTAGAGTGGAAAGACCTGTAATAAACCGTGAAACTTAGTGTCATCAATCAAACAAGACAGTATCACTTTAAGGCTCTGTATACCGCAGATGATAGCTGCGCAAGCGATTATCATCGATATATTTGGGATTTTTCCTTGTTTGGAAAGAAAATCCCAGTTTTCAGTTTATTTTGACACTCGATTATTGCCTGTAACCATTCCATGTTTTCGGTGCACATAGAACACTTTTGAGTATCTGTAACGCGAGTGTGAGACGTATTCTTCATTTCGCTCTTATAGTGTCCTATGAAAACCTCTCCGAAAACAAAGCCCACTTTCGGAATTACCAAAATTAGGGAACCAAATGAGTATTAAAAATCTAATGAAAAGCCATCCGCAGGACTCCAGCCGGGCAAATAAAGCTTTTCAAGTGTGAAACATAATTTTCGCTTAGCTACTACATCGCATTAGAACGACCAATGCCTTCTAATCTACTGTTATGAAACCTCGCTATAAACATTGAATAGTTTGTGAGAAGATTGGAGTTTTTTGAGGTCGATACGTCAGCGGTCCACGTATGTATTGGTGGTATCATTCGCCTCACTGTAGCCACCCACTCCACACTGAACTCACAAGTTTTGGTGCTAGCACGTGACATTGTGACATCATCTTTTTTTCACTAGATGGCTCACGGACTGGTAGCGGATATGTAGAAATTACCCTCCAAATGTCTGCCTCTAAAGCTCGCTAGTAAAATTCACATAACTTTTAAGAATGTTTGAAGTTTTTTCGAAATTAGTACGTCAGTGAATTAGCAGTAACTGAATGTTCACAGATAGGTTTAGAAACAATCGACTGGAATAATGATTACATATTCACTACCACCCAAAAGAAATCGACTGAAAAGTGGTGATAGCACAATATCGCGTGGTATCACCCCATCTCTGCTCCCCATCTCTGCTATGTAGTAGAGTACAATGTGGGGCGTAGGCCACTGACTAAGCGGGCGACACTACCGAAGCGTACGTAAGCCACTGACGCACACCTTCCAAAGGCCTTAAAAAATCCCCCAAATGCAATACAATGTAAAAATCCCCACTTTTTGAGCTATCGCACGACTGCTTAGAGTATAGCGAAACAGCTGTGCCCAGCAAAAAAAGCCTTTGAGCATGCGAATGTGATGTGTCATACATGAGCTCCGCAAAAGGTTATAAAAGTGTTGGAAAACTCTGTTACCGTTGTCTATAACTTCTTGCATGTGATCACTGATGAGACATTTTTCGACGCGAGTCAATAAGGGTGTCCGGGTGCTTTCGTCAAGATAGAGATCGACACGCTCATTTTCTTCTTTGATTCGTCGTTCGACGTGCAAGAGAAAGTCGGTCGTCTAAGAAATAAAAATAACGACTTCCAAGAAGAATACATACACCGATGCAATAAAATAATAGATATTTAATACACAGAAAATAATACAAGCAGACGAATCGTTGGAAATTTAACTGCAAGCAATTGTTATCATGGAAAAAAACACACCTCAAGGGTTCGCACTAACGACATTCCTTCTTGTGCGTAAAAAACGTTAGTACAAGCAAGGAACTCCTCTTCGAAACACTAAAAAAAGGAGAGACAATCTTTCAAATATCTTACTGTAGACTTAAAACACACCTGTTTATATAACTCGAGGGTTCTCAGCATCCGAAAAAGTGCTCTGAGCAAAGACCGATCTATCTGAAAATGAGAACAGTACAATCGAAAAGACTAATAGCGTTGATCAATCTCTGCAGGAAACGGCCAAGCATTCAATCTCGTTGCAATAAAAAAAAACCAATCATTATTTGAGATGAATGAATGCATATCTGTCCTCTGTAAGAACTCGCAGTAGCCTTCCGATCCATCAAACCAGTGCTGTTACCCTCTTAGACAAGTGTAGCACCAAATAACCAGCTACAAAAGCATGGAAAGCTTGTAAGTCTCGAGGACGGATCGAACCATTGGCCACGCGTGTGTGTATGCCACAGGGCACCTCTAACCACTGCGTCACACGCGTCCTCGTTGCAGATATACCTACAATATCGCAACTTGGCAACAAAACTAACCTGATCTCCGACTCGTTCTCGAGCGATGCAATCTAAAATCCCGTTCACAAGTTTCTTTAGAACAGAGCTATACAGTACTATTTCTTCGCGAAAGATTACCAATGATGACTCCCTGAAGAAAAACCAGTGATGACTGAAGTGATCAAAAAAAAAAAAGAAAAACGAAACAAACCAGATCGGGGATTCGTCAATGTTTTCCAAAATAAATGTTCTATCCAGATATAAGAATATATTTCGAATAAGAATCTGAAAAGATAGCGGCCTGATTCTGATATAATGTGATGTTTAAGAAAGAATTACCATCTGTTCACAGTAGTCGCTCCACAAATTTTCGACAGTCTTCATGAATTCGACACCTCCAGATGCACTTTTTTCATTCAGATCACTCCTTTAAAAAGCATGATTACGACTAAGATATGCAGCAACTTTATAGAGGTAGCAGGGTAGTAAAGTGAGTAGAAATACGCTGTATCAGAAAGCGCTTGGATGAAAGATGCGCTGGCTCAATCACCTTCCCACCACCTGCAATCAGTGAACTGAAAAGCCTTAGGCGACGTCATAGCTCGTCTATCTCCAAGACTGAAAGGAGAATCGTCTCGACGAGAACTTTATGACAATCTCAAAAAAGACGAAATCTTCAAGACGCGCAATCTTCGAAGGCCTTTGTGGAGAAAAGTGAGAGGAAAAGAATCGAATGCAAGAAAGCTGGAATTCCCGAAGTAAATTGTGATGCCGGGTCGTGTATATAACAAAGAAACTCTTTAAGACGGTACTACCTCAAATATTTATCCCATTCAAATATTCCGAGCTCCCCTTTCCCTCGGGAGAAGGGATATATCTGGAAAAACTCCATATTCTACTTGAACAAAACTCTTACCTAAAGCCACGAATCCATCGCCGTACATTCTCAAGCAGTTTATCATAAGTGGATCTAGCCATTTTATGTCCACAAAGACACTCAACCACCTGAAAAATCCAAATCATAATGAAAATCATAAATTTGCTTCAGAGTTTCCTCTTACGTCTTGCGAGGCTCTTGACCTACGGCCTCTGCATCTCTAATTGGCAATTCTAGACGGTCTGCTCCATCTCTCCTGCATCTCCAGCTCGCAGCGTGCTGTCTAACAATGGGACACTCGGGTTAGAGATACAAAGGAGTACACCGTCCAGTGTCGCAGTTGGTGATGCAGAGGCCGTAGGTCCACGATCCCGAAAGAGCTAACGTTCTTACGATGGCAATCATAGACTAAGCAGCGCGAATAGCAAACGAGCGTGCAATTTTTGTCATTTGATTGGTTTTTTTCTCCATAATGGAGAGACCTCTAGCATTTTTGTGTTACTGTGATACTCCATGATCTATTTTACATGCTCATATGCTTTTGGCACATAGGAGCGCATGTGGCGCAGTGATTAGAGGTGCCCTGCGTCGCACTCGAGATCACTGGTTCGATCTCGTCATGGCTCACCAAGCCATCCATCCCTCCGCGATCGGTAAATCGGTACCAGACAGCTCTCAGACTTGTCTGGGAGGATAAGCAGCACTGACTCAGTTCAGCGGGAGGCCACCGCGAGTAATTGTAAAGGCCAGATGTGCATTCAATCACCTCAAACGAAGTTAAAAATTGAAGTCGAATGCATGGCGCATCCCTCAGGGATTGATCAACACCGAGAGCTTTATCCTTTATCCTTTTTATATCTCAAGAGTGTCAAGGAAACTCCGATAATGGAACATTATCTTCTTTTTTGCTGCTGCGATACTATATAAACTTTCTGGAAAGTAAACATTGTTTCAGAAACATCGGGATTGCAGCTATCGAACGACTTCTAACCTATGACGAAGACCTATCTAAGCGCTTAAGCCAAGCTTTGCTGCAACGGTGTATTGAGGTCTTTTCGAAAACAAAGTATAATGCTAAAACTGCCGCTTCTCAAGCTATCAAATGAGCACGAAAACATCGGCTAACATCCCGGTGGAAAAGCTAAGGAAACAGACGTGGATTCCATGGCATATATTCCGGTCTTGAAGGAATCTGAGAAAGACACGAGCACCTTCACAAAGGAGTCTAACCTTATAGAGCTGCTCGAGATTGGTTGTAATATGTTGTTTCTTTTGAATAGCGTTTATTGCAGCCTCCAGAGTCGCCCATCCCGACGCCATCAAATCAGCGACATCATCGTTTTTCTCTAAAAATTGAACTGTGATTAGGGAAAGTCAAAACGCTAACGAAATTTCCTGAAACCTACTGCGGAAATTCTTAATAGTTAGCTTCTTGACCGTCGGCAATCCTCGAGTGATCTGTCTCACGCCTTTTGTGTCCACCTGATGATGAATAGAGGAAAAAGTAAAGGCAGTGATGATATTGGATAATGTTGAGTGATATGCAAAACTTTAAACCTCGAACGGGAATCGCACTCGTACTTAACGCTTTCCGAGGGAGAGTGCTGACCCACTAGCTATCGATATCCAGCATCTGTCACCCTGACTGAGTTCAGTGACGA